GAAGAGTTTGACCGGCCCTATTTGCTTGTTCAAGGCAGCAGTGTCCTTTGAAAAGAATAGACTTGTATCGCCATCGTAGATGATACATTTTGTAATTTGATTTAGATTGACAATGTAATTCACATATAAATTAAACAAAAAAGGGCATAACATTCTGCCTTCTAGAAGGCCGGATATGATTGGTACAATGGCAGAAGGAAAACTGTTATACTAGACGTACTGTTTACGATGAGCAAAATATGACGAAATGAGAGCGGACGCGGTTCCATGAAACCCGTACATTTTTAGTTTCTTTATCAGCAGTCTACGATTTAAATATTCAAATGCTTTGTTGAAGTCAATAAAAATCCCAAGGGTCATGTTTTTATCCTCAAACTTTCCAAAATATATTATTTTTGTTCTAGGAGATCGAGTTCAGTAGATCGACCCTTAGAAAACCCAAACTGTGGCGGAGTGATTTTATTGTTTTTATCCGCAAACTTCATCCGTCTTCAAATGCGTATTTTTTTGAGCCCTTAGGAAACACTGATATAATTGCAAGAGGCCTAGAATTCACCATGTCATTCTTATCGCCCTTTCTATACAAGACAGTTACCCTGGCAATCTGCATATTTTTTCAGAGAAAACCCCACACTGCACACACAAGTTAAATTTATACGTCAAGCAGGAAAATATCAATGCTATAACATGTTTTATTGGCCTTATTTGCATGTCGTCAGCGTCACAACTTGCACCTTTCTTTAGTAAGAAAAAAAAACAACACCATCACCAACGTACCTACAACTGGCTCAAAAATTATAGACGGCTCATTCTTGTTTTCAGTATATGAGCAAGCATTTTTCTAAGGACCATCTCTCGGCAAGTTCAGAAAATGATTATTAAAGGCGTTTACAAACCGTTGATATTTTAGTTCTGCATTACCTACGCAGATTTTATCAATTCCTTCTATTTCAGATGAACGATTAAAAACATTAATACATTTTTTTCTTGTGATGTCCGTCCGCTTTGCTGATGATGAAAATAGGTTGTTGAATTATTTTTGCTAGCACTTTTGAGTTATTTTGAAAGGCTATTGTCTGACACTTCGGATGCTCTAAGATCTTAAGGCTCTCGCGTTCTTAGAAATACTATGTACAAAATATTTTTTTCTTTTAATCTTGACTAGTAGCTCCATGGCTTACAGATTAGTTTTGTTATCTTAACTGATTTAAATAAAAAAACTTTTTTATATATATTTTCGAGTGTGTGTAAACAATTGCTGTATGCTTCGTTCACGTTAGTCCTGTTGTTCATATATCTCACCCCATCGCAAGTTTGAAAGTCTGCCTAAAGACAGAAAGGCTATTCGTTTGAATATTTCAAACGATGCATGTAGCTTTGGACTTCTGTTTTTCACGATCCGTTTTTCATACTCATAAAGACACCTAGATTGTCACTGATGACAGTAGTTATTATCCCTGATTTTATTATACGGTAGGTCATAATTTGTGATGAGCGGATCGAGCAATGCTGAAGAATCAGACCCGATTGTCGTGGGGAGCGTTATCACAATATTGCAACCATCGGTATTAATTAGCAGATTCATTTGTCTTTTTGCGGGTATGCCCAGAATTATGTTTATCATAAAATTCCCCCAGGATATTGTTATATTATTTCTCCTTAGTGTAATTGAAATGGGTGTCTAGAAAGTAGAAAAATGATGTCACACATCAACCCGGCGGTCTGTAGAATATCGATATCATGCAGTGATTTACCAGCAAGGATAGCAATTCAAAATGTTTATTAACGCATGCGAATTCTTCTACCATTTCGTAGCAAGTATTATTCTAAAACATCAGCGACACATCCCCTACACGGTCAGTTGATCAGCTCAAAAAAGAGCTCTTATGCATTGGCAATTCAAAAACGTCGTTTTCATCAGTGCACCACGTCTCCGATAACATAATAACATCGAACAAAAAACAAAACTCATCAAACAACAAACCAAGCTCCACAGTTTTCTTTCTAGCGGACCGAGTATTTAAATGAATACATTTAAAAGAACTGCGATACGCATAAGCTTCTTCCAATCTTTTTTAACCAACATTATATTACCTTCTGTGTGACCCTCCAAACAGGACGTCACAGCTATCCTGACGTCATCGTGGTTTCATAAACCTCTCTGCAAGGAGACCATCTATTCAAAATTCAGAACAAAATTTTACGTTTGACTGTGTGATTCTTCGATAAACCCGAGGAGCACAGAATGTGCCGTGCTTTTAATATGCGTGCCTTATTGTTAGTTATGCTTGGCTACGAAAAGCTTTGGGCGGTAACGGATTATCTGCACACACGACACACTCTCGTGCTCTCCGGGTTTATTAGAATAAGCTAGACACCTTGAAATGTATTGAGGAGTAGAGTGCGTCACAAGCTTGTTTTAATGAAACGGTTTTCATTGGTGGGTTCGTGTGGGGCCTCGAACCTTTAGTGCACTTGGATCGAAAGGGTCCTCTTGGAACTAAAGTAATCGCGCAGGAAGAACTTTAACTCGCTCTCTAGCAATCTATTGACTGTTGTTTAAAACTTGTACGTCACGCACCCGCTCCGCTATCCCTTGATACGTCGTAGGTCCCCGTGGGGGCTACGCTTCGTCATTCCGAGCCAGCTGCGCGGGCCGACGCTGAGTATGACTCGCCCCCGAGAGTCGCCTGCAGACTAATTATGCCAGACTGAGTATGACTTGCCGACGACTACCGTCTGCGGGCTAAGTGTGCTGCGCCAACCGCCGAATTCACAAACCTCACTCGAATTGAGGCGCCCCTCCACTTCCTCAAGAGAGGCGGGAGGACCGAAGCTTGTCAATCGCGACAACGGATAGGCGGCCTAGGCTGCTTCTCCGTCCTCTCGGTTGACCAGCGCCGGCCCTTGCGCCTTCCTTGAGGAAGTGGAGGGCCGCCTCCATGGGAGTGAGGTTTGTGAATTCGTCGGTGAGTATGACTCGCCGCCGTGAGTCGCCTGCGGAGTAATTATGCTGGGCTGAGTATGACTCACCGGTGACAGTCGACTGCGGACTAGATACGCTGGACTAATAATAACTCACCACCAATTGTCGCCTGCGTGCTAACTATGCTAGACTAAGTTTTACTCGCCGCCGACGGTCGTTGGCGGATAATGTATGCTCTTATAGGTATGAGTCACCTCCGACTGTCGCCGGCGGAGTAATTATGCTGGACTGAGTATCAGCGCTTGAAAAAAAGTTTGTGCGTCTACTTTCACGCACAACACTCGGAGAGCCAATCATCGCAACGTATGAAGGCGGCTCAGCGAATGACGATGCCGAAACATATGCTTACGCAAAAAAAAACGCATCCAGAGTTGTGACATTAAGCAATGCAAGCGTGACGTTTTGCATTGCTTGATGTCCCAACTCAGACTGCGTTTTTTTGGTCTAATCATATGTTTGCGTATGGTCATTCGCTGAGCTGCCTCCGTAAGTTGCGGTGCTTCGCTCTCCGAGTGTTGCGCGTGAAAGTAGGCTCACAGACATTTTTAGAGTGAGTAACCGTCCACGGTTATCTGCGGAACAAATATGCTGGACTAAGTAACACTGGCCGGGTACAGTCGCGTGGTATTGGGGGCGAAAGTCGGCCACAAATCATATCATAGTCCTGCTGCTTGCTCTCTGTTTGGCCTCTTCTTGAACAGTCATTAAAGAAAAAAAAAACTCCTTATGGCGCCGAGCAAAGACGACGGAGCGCGATTGACATGGTCCAGTGTTCGATTCCCGCTGAGGGCTGGTTGCAATTAATCTTGCCTAGTTATATTTATGTATGAATTATTTTGGCTAAGTGGGGCACTTCATATTCTTGGGATGCTTATGCACTGCTTGCATTGAGCTGTAATTATGTTAGGTCGGCTTATGCTGCGTGTGACGCCCATTCGTCACAATTGAGCATCAAACTTTTCAATAGTTCCTGTTAAAACAAAAGAAACGCTTGATTGTACGCCCATATGTAGAAACAATCGTTACACGCTTCTGCGACATGTTTGCCGTATTTATTTTCACTAAATGTTCGGTCATATACGCCACACCACAAGGAAGATAAGACGCAGTGCATGCAGACTCAGACGTGTCGTTTCATCTCACTGAAGATATTAATATTTTGGTTTCTTTCAAATAATTTTTAAACATAACGCGAAGACAAAGATAATTTTTGTGAAAGCAACCTGCAGCCACTTTCTGCGTAAATACTTTAAGGAATTTTTTTAAATTTCTGGCACAAAACCTGCTTATCGGCTGGACTTTATGCTAAAAAAACTTTACGCTAGATTGCGACGAAAAGGCCTTACAAGCAGGCCAAGGCCACACATAGCAGAGCCAACACATAGCCGCAATGAAGAAGCCTACAAAAAGAAGTAATTACGAATCATAATTACTTGTACCTACTCATAGTTGGGCTTCACTAATTGCAATAAATGAGATTCGTCAATAGGCCCAGTGGGAATCGAACCCCGGCCAGTGAGGTCCGCAGCACGCTGTTTTGCTGGCCGCGATGAGGAGTTGAAAAGAGCAAAAGGAGCAGAAACGAAAAAGTTTCTGCTTCTCGCATTTTTTTTTCTTCTTTTCCTTCCATGAAAATAAATATTAAAAAAAAACACGTCAATTGCACCAATACTCGAATTTCCGGCTGCGTGTCGAACCTTGCTCTCGCGTTCGTTTTTTCCGTCGTCAAAATATTATCTATCACACAATTGGCACTTACATTCTCCCTCATCCGTTTAACCTTGCAGCACTATTTCTGTGATCTATGCAAAACGCTTTTACCCTCTTCCCAAATTTTCCCTCACGAGCCGTTGCGATCGCGAGAATCTTGGCAGCGCCAAAAATCGGCGTAGGGGCCCACCACTCCCCAGCGCACAACTGGGTTTCCGATAAAAGCAGCGGTGGAGCTTCATCGTTCTACCGACCCGTGGCGCGAGCGTCAGAGCGTGACGTCATGGGTCGCCCGCCAGACCACGTGGACGGGCGCAGTGTCTCAAAAGAAGCTGCGATCGACTGCCGGGCGGAAATAATCCTGGGCTACGGTCGAAGATGCGACAGGGCATTTGAAGCTCTCTTTCGGAGCTCGCCTGCCGGCTCTGCCAAGGAAGATGTCCCAGCTTGGACGCCGGCTTCCATTCGGAGTAAGACTACAAAACAACGGCCTGGATTGTCGGCTTGGAAACAACTGGCGCCAGAAGCAACGTTAGAGCAGCGATAACGACGCTCCAGAGTTTGCTGCCGGACGGACCTTAGCCTGAACCGATGGAAGTACACGGAAAACTGCAGAGACCCAAGCGACCCAAGTGAAAGCGTCCCAGTGCTTCCGTTTGGAGCTCTCTGACACTGGAAAATGATGGCTTCTCACGGGATTGTCGTATTTGTTCTGCTTCTTCTGGCTTCGAGAGGTGAGTCCTGGCAAATTGTCCTGATAGCACGACCGTTACCTCATGAAGGAAAAGCCTCCTACATCGTCCAGCATTTTGATGTTTGCGTCAGCTGAAGGGCACTGATTGAAAATATTTTTACTAAAGAGGCGCAGAGCCGAGTTTTCGAACTTTCATATTTGGATTACTAGCGCTATGCACTATCAAAGGCATTTTTGTTATAGGAACTAGAACTGAATAGATAAATAGGTGACTCCGACTTAAATGTCATATTTATTTGTTCCATGGTAGTTAGAATCGTCGCTGCGCTGTGACGTTAGAATGGATCCTATATTTGGTGTTCCTAGTTGTGTGATGTTATGTGTGACAGCGGGGGGAGCATTTCAGGTTATAGTATGAATCTACTCTAAAAAAATAGAAGCACTTTTTTTTTTCAAAACGGTCACACAGCAGCCATGAGCACTTCAAGCAAATAGCGAATTCACTATTCCGTAATCTCATATTGCACATCAAAGTTTGCTTTAGCTCTTATGCGTGTTTGCAGAATTAAAGAAGGCGTCTGATTTATACATCAAAATGATAGCTTACTGCTTAAATTTTGTGACTGCTGTGACCAGAAACACATGTCAAAAACAATTTGAACCAGAAGGTGTAATGTGCTTGTTAGCCGGTACATCGACAGCAGCAGACGAAAATAAAGATGTTGTAGGAACATGTCGCAATTATGCGTGTTTAAACTATGAATGCGGGACATTTTTGTTATTTTAAAGAGAAACAAGATGTACTAGTAAATATAAATGTCCAATTATCGTTAGCTAAGCCCGCGACGAAGGAGGCTGGCGTGAAATATTGAGAACTGCGGTTTTATGGACATAATATGACCAACCTTATTGCATTTCGGGTTCCTCAGCATAGAAATCAAAAGCAATACATGATGACCAACATCTGAAGTTAAGGAATCAAAGAAGGTTTTATTTCAAAAAGCATATACGTTCGCGTGCGGGTTCTTTCCCATGCCCATCTTCACAGAACACGGCAAGCTTTCATCGTACATTTGAAGATTAAATTTTGAACACACCGGAGCATATTGAAACCAAGTAATGCACGGAAAGTATCTTGCGCATTCTTGTGGTAGGCGGTAACGCGTTCCTAGTCCCAGGAGGAAAGACGAGCAGTATCTCTCAGTGTTTTCCTTTATGACGCAGCGTGTATTTTCTGTGAAACGTCCTCTCCTTACCGAAAGCGATAAAGAACGTTCAGAAAGGGGACGTACATAAGAGGCGAAAATGCGATCCCTACGTAGTTCACTACACTGTTCTCCCGCATCTCTTCGAACGTGTCATCGCAATACACTAAAACAGGAACGGCAGTCGCGCAAATACGCCCGGTGAGGAATATGCTTGCAAGACCAGGGGACGGGATGAGATACAACGTAAATTAAATATCAAAGCGAGGAATTATAAATAAAAAAGGAGGCAGGTGAAATCTACAGCGTTCCCCGCCGCACAAACAGGCACAGAACGAGATTGTCAGCGAACTCAGACAGGAGACTGGCACGTTGCTAGGGCGAAGCAATCAAACCGAGATTTACTGTCGCCGTTTTCCCGGACAAACAGGGCCTCTCTGCGAAACAAGGACGGCCTGATGCCTCGTAGAGACAAAGCGGACGACGCGTGGCCCGAAGGGGAAGGGGCGACACTCTTCCTTGCCTCACGGGTCGGCGTCTTCCCGTCCTTTTAAGCGTAGCTTCATCCACCGCGCGGCTTGCGGCCACAGTTTAGACGGCCCAGAACCGCTTCCTTCGATATCGCCCCCTGGATTCTCCTCTTAGTCGCTTCCTCTTGTACCGCATGTCGTCTCGTGGTTCTTGCACCTGCCGCCGCCTGAGCCTCTACCCGGATTAGAGACACCGGGGATCGAACATTTACAACGCTTGTCGCTTTGTTCCATTGATGCCCTTTCTTAGTTCTTGAGTTATCCGTCTTGATTTAATTTTTCTTCGCGTGGTACTTGTTCGTTCGATATATATATATATATATATATATATATATATATATATATATATATATATATATATATATATATATATATATATATATATATATTTACTTTGGAACGGGAAGAGGATAAATTTGTCGTGGCTACCCTCGGTCATTTTTATATATTCTTTTATTTCGAAGAGAGTTTTCAAAGTTGTCCGGAAATATTTTTTCTCCTTTTTGTTCCGAGAGATAATATGATTGGTGGTCTGCGCTTTAGCGTATTTTAAGATTATGTTTATTGCTTTGATAGCATAATTACTTTTTCCATTTTAAAACTTTACTTTATTTGTTCCAACTAGTTTAAGACAGAATGAAATAAGAGGTATGCGAGGGAAGAGGTATTCGACACAAAATCCGAATGAGAAGTGTTTTAACTTCACTGAGGGTGTGACTAAAATATGACACCATGATAGTACACCAAGTGTCTACAAATTAAGAAGAGAGTATTAGGAGCATTAAAAAAGAAACAATGAACAGGAACAAATGAATATAGTACAAAACGAGCGTGTTGGTAACGGTAATTAGACATGAGAAAGATACATAGAAAGGGGGAACGGAAGTCTTCGTTGTCCGTCCCCCCTTCCTATGTATCTTTCTCATGTCTAAATGAATATACCTTGCAGTTGTCACCTAATATAACTTAATACCGCCCATGCCATTCAAAAGTCGTTTTATAAAGAGCTCATGGGCGGACTTACAGGAACGACCCCTGAAATATTCGACAGGGTCCAAAAAATACGTGAGACCCCTTTAGAATGATCCATTTACTTTAACATTCTTTTTTTCATTCATGAGCGCTACGCTATAACGGGATTCTATCGGGAGAACATACACGTTTTCCTTCGTGCGTGTTGGATTTGTCGAGGCGCTCAAGGCGTTCGGGAATAACATAATATACCGCATACGGTGGGTTTACGACACAGTCGTGAATCTAGCATAATATTATAGGAATATTACTTTTGCACCAACGCGCATTTTTCAAACAGTCGAGCGTGGTATACACGAGTTTGGAACAGCGCACGCGCAAGAATTTGATTTACAGGAGGTGCAGACTACGCGCGTGAGCCGTGCTGTACTCAGCGCCATCGCCGCAACATGACGGCAATGGCACACGCTTTAAAAAGCCTATATTTAGCTCCATGTTGGCGTGCTGCGCCATGAGTACGACCCGTCACGCAGTTCCCATCATTGAAAAAGTTTACGGGAGCAAGAACGATAGCTTGGTTCAATACATTAATGGTCCTGAGCTTTCTTGTGGTTTGCACAAATAATACAGATCATGTAGACACAAGCAGAGTTGTACTTGGAGCGGTAAGAATATTTGATAAAATTTAGTTTCACTCTTTTTTTTATGTACATGCAAGCTTCTATTTGAGCACTGTGTCGCATTCTTTATTTCATAGTATTAATTGTAATTTGCGAGCAACAATTAATCGTGAATATTAAAAAAAAAAACTGTGGCCAAAAGCAAGCGGCAAAGTTTCCCCTTACATGGCGAGCTGTAGCTGCCTCGTTTGTTTAGAGAATCACGAGCATCGACCCGCTCCATGAAAAGAAGGGTAGCCTTTTCGCAACACTTAGATGTTTGAATCTGGCCCAGAGGGCGACGGCCAAGTGCCATCATGAAGGTTTACAGCTCGGCTTTGAGAGTGTAGGCACTTCCCGTTTAATTCCCCGACGCTCGGGAGGACCCTCCCCGCTCCCCCTCCCCCGGACAGCGCCCCTCGATACGGGATCATCTGACTCGAGAGGTAACTAAACTAGAGATGCCTCGCTCGTGAATGTTTTGTTTTTTTTTCCTATTTTTGTCCTTTTGCTTTTCTATCATCCGGGCAAGGTGCACTGTTTTTGTTTCTCCCCGAACATAAAGCATTAAACCAAAACACTTGGCTATGCGGGAGCTGCGAGTTATTCAACATTTTATTTTTTAAAAATTTTAAAGACCATGAACTGCGGCATAGGACAAAAGTCGCATATCTGTGTAGCAAAATTCGACACAAAATATGACAGACAGACCGATTGCCAAGTAATAAAACGGGAGCCTAATTATTGATACCCTTACTACTGATAGGCCTCTAGCTAATGAACTCCGTGTAAGCTCAATCTGTTACACACTATCAACAGTCAGTCATGAATAGAACATGCGCTTAATCTTTTATTGGTATTTAAAGCAGCCAAACCACTGCCGGGATTTCTGTGAGCACTGACATTGCAAGACTTCTCATCAATTCATCCGTCGGCAATCTGCATTTGTCTCTGCCCTGCTTGAGCGTTCAGGCGCTTGGGAGAATTCACTTTGATTCTTCCCAAGGTATATCCATTTACCTCTTCGATTCATTGCTAAGTACACAATGACCGCGTCTCTCAGTTTAAAAACAGCATATTGATTCCACACAAAACCTTACTTTATCTTTTATTGGACGTATCGAAAGCAGCACGATGCCCAAACGAAGCCTCAAGAAGCACTCAATAGAGAACCCAGCAAATGAGGCACCGTCTGTCAAAGAAAGCTTTGCCGTGTTTTCGGGACACAGACAGCGATCTGGAGCTGCGTTTTGAAAGCCCGCATATCCCAGGCACCAGCCATTAGCGGAGTTTAGGCTCAGAATGACGGTCCCACCGGAGATATCGGGTCGATCGCAGGTTCCCGCAATCGGCACAAAACGGGGAGAGGCTCTTGTGACTGGATTCTGGGGCGCTGTCGAGTTAATGTATCTTTTCGCGTTCATACGGACTAAAAGCATAGAAACCACGAATAAAATATGCAGCGGCAGCGTTCTGCATATGCCCAGGCCAGAACTGCAATGCTCCAAAGGTCAATGAGAGGTGTCTGGTTAAAAAAAAAATATATTTTGTTCGTGTTCCTTCCTGTTAGTTCAAATATGTAGGCACACAGATGCCTTGTATGAGCCTTTTCTTTGCTTCAGCATGACTTGCGGAAGTGGAAAAGTTACGGCTTTCTAGAGTCAGTTAGTCTGA